GGTTTTTATGCAACATATGCGACAAACACACTTCTATATCTATGTATATTTTGTATATGTATTATATAATTTGTATTTGATTATTTCGCCTTTGATGAATGCCGTTTGTGGAATGGCTGGGAAAGGTGTCAAATGGAAAGGGTAAACTAAAAATGTGTGTGCGTTTTTTTAGTGCATTGTCAGGCTATATATTGTCCTTTATATCCTGTGGGTGGCTGAATAAATGCAAATAACTGCATTTTATGTACATACAAATAAATCAAAAAATGCATACAAGTTTTGTATATTATATAGAAAATGCAATTTGTATGCATTCAAAATGCCATGGATCATATACATATATATGTATATATGTATATATTGTATGGAGAAATTAGTTGTGTATTTGAAGCAGCTTACATAGACGACTGACAGCTTAATTGCTTTTTACTTGACGACTAAAAATTGATTTTTAAGTCCCGGGCTTAGTGCAGGAAAGCACTGGAAGAGAAGGTCCTTAGGAATGCAACTGCATTTCTTCCAGCTTGGAATGTGTGCAAGGGGAAACGGAAACGATTAGAAAGGTACAGGACATTCCAGGGAAATCGATAATTTGATAATTGTAATTTGTGTGGAAGTGCAGTTATAAATTATATTTGATTAAGTTTAAATTTGATTTAAGTCTCATAAGTGAAAAGGGATGACACAAGGTTCTCAAAGAACTATAAAGCATTTTAAAACTAATAATAATATTAGCATAATAATAATAATATTAATATAAATGTTTTAAAGATATGTTTATATTTATGATGTCTGAATACAGCTGGAAAAGATTAGTTGTTCTTTGGCAAACAACTTCTTGGAACACCCCCAAAATAAAAATCTAATATGTATAATTAAATCTACAATGACACTTTTAGATAATTTCAAAACAACTTTTAATATAAAACCCAATCGAAATAATATTAAATTCCTTTCATCTCAATGATCATTGACTTTTATTCTTAGCCACAGACTACTTCCTGTTGACTTAATTCCATTCACACTCCTCACAACAGCGTTGTTGATGTTGATGATGATGATGTAGAAAATCACAAGGGGGCCAAGACCCAGTGACTCACCGACCGCAAGTCAAGTCAAGCCAAGCGGAGACTGTACCCAACCCAGCAGGCACGACGAACGAACCACACACACACACATTGACACCACCAGCCACCCACTCAGACAAAGCGGTTGGAGTTGGGTCGTTCGGAGCTCAGAGCTCGGAGGGAGTTGCGCATGCGTGGCCGTCCCACGCCCACTCGACCAAGGGGTGACACAACACAGAGAGAAATAGGGGTCTTGGATGATCATGCATATATTCATTTAAAAGATCAGTAAAATAGGGTATTATAATTGTATTCAGAAGCTTGTAAAGTAGTGAAAGAGTCATTTCCGACCCTATAAATCATATATATTCTTGATCAGCATCAACAGCCAAATCGATCTAGCCACATCAGAAAGAAAACAATTTTTTAAATTTTTTTCAACATTTTTTATGTGGTTAAAATTGCCAAAATTTGTAAAAAAAAAAAAAATTTTTTTTGTTACATTTAGATTTATTTAACTAATAAAAACTAACATAGGACAGCTTTCCGAATTAAAATTAATGCTTTTTTGGCTGAGTTATGAGTTTTTTTAACTTTGATTTATTGAAAAATATTGAAAATAACGATATATATGTGTTTTGTAATATATATATCATTATAACTAACTTAATTTTCCCCCTGTGTAGTTTATATGGTATTCTTATTGAGGGAGGGAGAGTCTCTACACAACAGTGGGAACCAGGCGATCGCAGAACCACCCCAACGGGGTTCCCAAAGTTAAATGAGACGTGACAAAGAGCAAGCGGCTCGTAGTGAGGGCAGGCGGAGGCAGATTTCCGCTGCACAAGTGGCGCCCAAGTGGGAAGCCCTATGACGAGCCCCGAGGGAACTTTCTCCCAGAAAAAGGGCTTCGGCTTCGTCTTCGTCTTTACAAGGGGCAACAGGTTTTTGTGTGTAGGGACGAAGAAGGAAGCCATGTGCTGCTGTAATTGGCCTGGCTCATTACGAGGATCGGAATCGCTCTGGTTATATCACAGCTTGCACTGGTCCAAGGATGGACTAACGGGTCCGCAGGTCCACGTCCACCACTCCTCAGCGAGGCTCGGTGTCTGAAAGAAAGAACCTCTCAGGGGGATTCGAGGTGGCCCACATGTTGGCCCCGTGGTGACGGCTGCTCTTGGACCGGTTTCAGGCTGCTGCTGCTGCTGCTGCTCCCTCATCATTGTCATCATTATCATCATCATCATCGTCTTTGTGGCCGGCAAAGGCACCTTCTGTTGAGTGGCAATGAAGGTAAAGTAGGGTGCTCCATTTCGAGGGTTAACCTGTTTGCAGGTTTGCCCTACAAGAAGGGAATATAGATTGTTAAGAGAAAGATATTTACGGAATGATTGATCTGGGGATTTGGGGATTTTTCATTAAAGAAGACTTCGGGATATTGTTTTGATTTAATTAGAATTCTTAGAAGATTAATGGAGGTTTTCTAATTACAAAATATGGTCTGTTTTGATATTTCGAAATACAAAATAATCTTAAAATTTATTTGAAAAAACTAAGATTAAAAAACAGGTATACCGCATACAAAAGTCCACCTAGCGGACTTTTCACTCACTCATCTCATCTCCAACTTATGCCAACAGATGCATTTTTGCAACACAGTATCGTTCGGCGGGGGGGGGGGGGGGGTTACTTGTGGTGCCTCGCAATTCCTTCGATCAAAATCAGCGTCATCGCTACCTGCAACACCAACAACTAGTCTCCATTGAGTTTGCTTTAAACTTTCAATTTCATTGACTCTTGTATAAGTTCTGCTTGCTCTCCCGGGATTTTCCCATTTTATGAGTCATGCAATTTGCATTGGCAATTCTGGCAGAGATAGTAAATAGCCTGAGTTATGGCCCAAAGGTTGAATGGCAAGTCTTGAACCCGAAATCGATTGAGGCTAAAATCAGCCCACGCCGAAAATTGCCACCCAATTGACTCGAAAACACACTAAATACGCTCATGTGGGTGAATACGGTCGTAAATACAGTAGAGATTCTATAAAACGAACTGGGAAATATGTTTTCAGATGTATTAACATTTTATAAATTTAAATCTATAAGTATTTGTATTTTTAGAAAGACAAAATTATGTTATATAAATACCTTTATACCTTCCACAATTTGAACAGATTCTAAGTGCTTTCCAAATCTAAATATCCTTGATTTTCCAGTCATCGAAAAATTAGGTTAGGGTTAGGTTAGTGCAACTGTATTTGTGTCTACCTGGGTATATTATCCATCTCCTCGTGTATCGCACGCCCTCCTTCTTTCTGGCCATATAACAAACCCAAAAAAGCCACCGGCCCCGCTAATGAACGCAACAGTCAGAGTCGCCTCCTCCTCCTCCTCCGCCACGAAGACAGCGACAACAACAATAACGTTAGCAGCCCACATCCACGAAGATCATTACCAAGCCGAAGCGGTGCTGTAAAAAAAAAAACGAAAGGCAACCAAAAAAGAAACAACAACAAAGTCAAGTTGCACTGTCGCAAAGTGACCTGAAAATTCTACGCCGAACAACGACCACCCTACTCGGCAGAGCCCATTTCCCTTTTGAATAACTTCTATTATTCTAAAACCTTTTCGGTAATATTTTAAATATCTAATTTGTCTGTAGTTTTTAGATTTAATTAAACTTCCTTTGATTTAATTTTCATTAAGGGTTTAGTGTAGTTTACGTTTTTTCGTACTCCTACGCCGGCAGCGACGCCGGCTGCGGCGCGACCGAATCAGCGAGAGCGACGTTACAAGCGAGAGAGGCAGAGAAATAGCCGCTTGTTTGTTGCAATTTCTCTTTTATGCGATCATTCGTTTGTAGGTGGCCACTTGCACAGTGGGCGCCTTAAAAAATATATATTTAATTGAACATCACAATTAACTAAAATGTAAAATATTTTCAGAATTGATTTCAAGAACTTTCAAATCGATTACTACAATAAAATAATGCAAAATAAAATTTTAATGGAATAATTTTTTGATTAACAATTTGCACATTTAAAAAAAAAAATCTACCTGACCAATTTTCACTCAATGCACATTAAGGCTTTATATAACTTAAAATTAAAAATTAATATTTCTAATATATTTATTACATATAATTTGTTATGATAAAGAATACTAGTATGAGCGGCAGCAATATACAACTAATATGTAAAATGTACAGAAACTAATTTTTCAAATTTAAATTTTCATATTTAATAATAGTCTAAATCAATATTAATGTAACATAAATTTTAAATTATAATATTTTGAATTTATTTGAAATATAGATCTTTAACTAGGTCAAATAATAATAAATGCAAGTGCCAATAAAATCATCTGTCGTAATAAAAAATTAATAATACAATATACATATATGTAATAAATACATATATTACATATATATATATAAACAAAATAATTTATACAATGTCCATTCGATGTGCAGTAGGACCTTCATGCGATGTAATATTACAAATATATTATTTAGAATTTATTAAAAAAAAATATATTTTTGGGCAAATCAGGCATAACATTAAGATTAACAATAATAAATACGATTCCACAATAATGCATTAATTTAAAAAAAACTAAAGATAATATTTAAGGAGCTCTTTTTACAATTAAAAATCAGCTGTTCACCCTATAACTCAATGCGAAGAAACCTCTTCACAACGTGTAAAACTATAATCATTATAATTATTTTAAATTTAATTATAAATCGATTTATAACAAGATTAGGAATATCAACAAGATCGACTATTACAGCTTTGCTTAAGAACCCCAATCACATTTTCACAACACTGATTTCACAGCCGGTGTCACATTTTGCCCCACTGTGCGCTGCTTTGTGCGTCGGCTTCGTCGGCAGAGCAGAAGCCGAGCGCGTCATCGGTTGTTGTCTCCGTCTCTCGCCGTTCGCAGTCCGTTGGAATTTCTCGTGGCGTTCGGTTCGTGTTACTGAAAATTTGGAATTGACTTCTCGCCTTCGTGCGGCATTTAAAAACATTGCAACGCCTGATTTTTTCTGCGAATTATTGAAAGATTATTATTGAATACTAAAGAAAACCCTAGTGCGTCTGTAGTTTCGCGAAGTGAACAAATTGTGATTAAAACAGAGACTGAAAATCAAGGAAAGTGCATTTTTGCCGGCTGGAGAAAAGGAATCTCACACACACACATTCTCACACGAATACAGCAATGGCCGAAGGGCCGACTGAAAGGAACTAGAACAGCAGTGAAAACTCAAATAAGGTAATAATTCACGAGCTTAGCGATTAAAGATTTTAAATACTTTTAAGTTTGAATACAGTGTGGTGGCTTCTAATTAGCTTTTGCCAAAGCCGAACCCACACAATCCGGCGACCCATCGAGATTTCGGTTCGAAGGCCATGTGCAGAGACAAGCCCAGCGGACGACCGACAACCCACAGGTAGCTAGGCCCAGAACCGGTTACCCAATTTCCAATTATACACGAAAACCCAAAAAACACGGCCACTCCAACGCCCCACCAACCAACCAACACAAAAAAGGGGAATAAAAAACACGGTTGGGCACCCCTTTCCTGAAAAAAAAACAAAAAGATTCCAGCACACTAACACAGACACAGCAGACACGGACACCCTCGCTTGGCGCAAATGCGACGCCGCAAGGGGCTCAAAGCAGAAAAGAGATGAAGAAGGAGAAAATATAAAAACCCACCACCACCACTAGTGTGCACCATCAATCCTTGGCAGCTTGCGTGTGGTTCGGCTGCTCCTCCCCCTCCTCCTTTTCGCCTCCTTTTGCCCACTCCCTCATTATCCTACTTTCTTCTGCGCTGCTTATCATCTTCGCACACACACAGGCGCATACAGTTACACACTGTGAGAAATCTTGGACTCACTGAGGCGAAGCCGCCTACTCAGATGCTCTCTCTCTCCTATTTGTTCTGCTTTTGTCACATGTTCCTCTTCCTTTCCTTTTCACCCTGTTGCACACGAGGAAGATTGGAGGAGGGGAGGCGACTGTCCGTCGCGCCGCCCGCTGTTTCAAATGCTGATTTCTTGTAGGTTTCTTATTTTGGCGTTGCTCCTCGCTCTTTTTTGCCTGCGCCCGCTCTCTCGCTCCCACTTTTTGCTTTATCACTTCCACTCCCTCCGCCAGCGCTTGCATTCTGATGAATTTTTTACACCCACCATCGATAGCAACTTTTGCATTCAACCTACTCCGCCTGCTGCCCCACCCCCTGCGCGTCTTCTCCCCCTCGTTTTCTTCGGTTTCGCTGTCTGCGTTGCCGCCCCCACTGACAGTCGCCCTCTATTATTTGCTTGTTTATTATGGACTCATCTTCGCGGTTTGCTTGCTTACCAAGGAGTTGTCATTGGAACGATCGGTTGGAAAAGAGGGTTGCCATGCCAAGGGAAAGAAGCAACAGTGTTACCCCATTTCCAAATAAATTCAAATAAATTGCGAATCTAAAATGTACTAATTCCGCTTAAGCAAATATTCTTTGTCAAATGGGGAGGGGAGTGCCTGTATTTTTTTTTACACTTTATAAATATTAAGAGAAACATAAAACTCTGTCTGCGTAACTTGAGTTTTTTCAATAACAAATAAAAGTTTACATATAAATCGGGGAATCGAAGAAAAGCTATGAATACTTGTTGATAGTTCCTGGTGGCCGTTATTCCCTCGTATTGAGTCATTTTACCCTCCCTCGTTTGTTTTTCTGTTTTGTACTGCCAACCCACGCTTGGCTTCCTCCTCCCCCTCTGCAACCGACTCCGATCAGCATTCCCATGGAAAAAGCGACCCCAAAAAAAGGGCAAAAATAAATTACGCACTTCCCGTCGTCGGTGGTAGAGAGAGAGAGAGAGAGATAGAGAGGGAGGGAGAAAGAGAGCAATTTTATGCAGCCAGCCGGGTGAAAGAGGGGTTGCGGCAGCAGAAGTACCTGCCACAATGGAGGGTTGTTGCTGCTGCACCGATCCCGGTTCCATTCCCTATGCCCATCCCTAAACCGATCCGATACGATCCTATCCTATGCGAACCCCAGAGTTGGCAGCTTGCAGCAATCTCACCGAAAATCACATAGGAATTTCCTGTTACACACCCGCCCCCTGGCCAAAGGCCCCGAAAGTTACCTGCCCTCGCCGTAGTCGACAGTCCTCGCTTACCTGTTTTCTCCAGCGGCAGCAGCTGTTTGTTTTGCGGCTTTCAAGGTTTCTACTTTTTACCTGTTGGCGTCGGTGTGCCGAGAGCTGAGTTCGATTCGGATTCGAATTCGAATTTGGGAATCCGGGGAGTGCGTCCCCTTTTTGCAGCAGCCACCCCATTGCGTAGGATTCATTTCATTTCGGTTCGGTATCTCTTACCTCGGTGGGTTCTGTACAGGGGCGTCTTGAAAGGGGGTGAAAAATATTTTAACTTGTCAAAAATAAGACTAAACATTTTTTGTTACCCTTACAATTTGATATATCCATTAGGATATATTTACCTTAATTGTTTAAAAACCCCCCTCTGGAAAAACCTTTCATTAATGCCCGCCCCTGGACTGGTGGGTGGGGGTAGGGAGAATGGGCGTTTTTTGAGAGGTAAAAAGAAGACCGAGAGGGGTTAAGTCTTACTCACATCTTCTTCAATTTCTTTTGTTGGCCCAAAACTCGAAAATCGTTTTTTTTTTGGGCGTCTTGAGGCTGAGGTTGGTCTCGTTTCTGCTTTTGTGCCCGGCGATCATCATTATCTCCGTTTCGCTGGCTCATTCTATGGCAGCAGGCACCACCACCAAACCACCAGCACTCCTCCTACTACAATTTGCCTAAAAAACTTCAACCGTTTCGACCGTTTTTTCAATATTCAACAAATCCAAAACAACAAAACAAAAATCGAAAGAAAAAAAAAGAAAAAGAGAAGGAAGCACACGGCAGACGGCGACGATGTCTGCTTGAAGGTTGTTGTGAAATTTCATTATGGGTCTGGGTCTGTTGTTGTCTCCTCACCTCCAGCTTCAGCTTCTCCTCCCACTGATGCCTCCTCCTGCTGCTGCTGCGGCTGCTGCTGCTGCTGTTTCTACTCCGCATCCACCTCCACCTCCTACTCTTCTGATTGCCTGCTGCTGCCTATGGATGTGAATGTGGTTGTTGTTATTTTTTTAAGAGGCGTCCAGCGTCAACATTTCAGCGCTGGGTTTTCGGTTTTGGGTTGGGTTGTCTTGGGCACATGTACTCGTATGATATACATTTATATATATATACGGATAGGCTGGCCATGGGTTGGGATGGCATGGTTTCGTATGGGTTGGGATGGTGGATGATGGTGGCTTCGGCTTCGGCTTGGGACTGAGTCTGGGCTTGGGCTGTGGCATATTTCTCGTGTGTAGGTAGGTGGTTTCTCAGAAATCCATTTGTTCATATGATAACCCAAAAAGTACAACACGATACCAAAACTCTCTGGGGGAGAAAAGGAAACGCAATCATTTGCTGACGCCAAGCTAAAGCTTTTCAACCCGAGATCGCCATTTCATTAAAAAAAGGGGGGAGAATATGTGGGAGCCTAACAAAGGGATTCTCTATTTATTGTAGATTGAGTGTCCATGAATGAAACTGGAACTCTTAATCGTTCTATAGCTTCTACGAATGATGTTGTTATGGTAACAGATTTCTCTGACATAAGGAAACTATAAGTTAACTAAGGGGATCTCTCTAAAATTGTCAAATAATAATTAAAGAAAGAATTATAAATCAGAACTTAAGTAAAGGACCAATCCCATCAACTTGTATTATATAAATATCTACCAAGAAACTCACATTAGGATCCTATTTCTCGAAAAATCGAAGCTCCTCCCCCAAGGATTTCTTATTGATTCATAATTTCTATAATCTCTTCATAAGAAGTCCTTTAGAAAGTCACACCTAAATGCACTATGGCCACTTTCAAAAACACTATCCCGGCATACAAAATCCATTTATCATTATCCTGCAACCTCCTCCTCCTCCTCCTCCTCCATTCGATGCCAGCGCATCCGTTGGTCCGCAACAAAAGCAACAGGATCGGCACTTAAACCCCACTCCCATCCCCTCATCCCATCGGAACCACCCCAACCACCGGCGGGAATGAAATGGCAGCTGCAACCTGCACAAGCCAGCCCAACGGGGCAACCCTAAAAGTGATCTCTCTGGGCAGCAGGTACTGGGACTGGGTCTGGGTCTGGATTGTGCAGTTGAGACTGAAAACCACCCCTAAAAAAGGGAATGTGGAAAACATGGCACAAATTGCTACCCCATGGATGATCGGACACCGAGCACATGTTGCATGCGGCAAAGATTTCAACAGAAAAGGAAGAAGGAGCTGCCTGCCGATCGGTATTCGTGGAGGGTGCAACCACTGGCCCTTGGTTTGAGGGTCTCAAGACGACCCCGACTCCGTCGTCGTCCAAGCCGAAGGACAAGACGAACATGTGCAACTTGTCTGCTCGCCTGCATTTTCTGTATCTTTCGTGTATATTTCTTGTCTTGTCTTGGCCATTTTATGAGGGCGCGCACCTGCCAACAGCTGCCGCCACAGAAGTAGAGGAGGACGAGGAGGAGGAGGAGGAGGGGGGAAAACTAAAGGCGGGTAATCATAGCCAAAAGCTATGGTCAAGAGACGAGTCGCGTCTCGTTTCGTTTCTTTTCTGGGCCTGCCCTTGAAGCTGTCGAACGCCCACCAGCAGCGGATGAACCACCCAAAAAATTCGAATGAAGCAACAAACGAAACCAGCTCCGATGGGTTTTTGGCCGAAAGCAATTTGCTTTTGTTGTCTGCTGGCCATCCGCCTAAAAAAAAAGAAAGAAAATAAAAAAGCCAAGCTCAAAGAGAAGACGCCAAAAAAGCAACAGCAGCAGCAGCAGCAGCAGCTGCCGTCGCCACAAAAAGTACCACCTGCCGCCCATATACATGTCGCTATATATATCTATATATATCTGTTGTCCTTTGTTTGCCGGTAGCCCCATTATCCCAAGGATGTGCCTCTATATGGGAACGGGAAAGTGAGTGGCACGCAGAAACGTGCTCCTGGTAGTTGGACTTTCAATTGAGGAAAAAGTATCTAGGGTAAAAGTAAAAGGGGTAGTGATCATCTTGAGAATGAATTAACTAAGGAAATGAATATTTTTATATTATATCCTTTATAGTTAGATTTTTTCGACAAATCCAAGTTTTAATAAGCTCATAACTAAGCCAAAAAAGTTTTAATTTTAATTCGGACAACTGTCCAATGCTAGTTTTGATTAGGT